AAAAGTGTGCATGTGTGTGTGTGTGTCTGTGTGTGTGTGTGTATGTGTGTATGTGGGTGTGCGTGTACATTTGGGTGCGTATGCTCACATGCGTATGTATGTGAGTTTGTGTATATGTGCGTTTGTGTGCGTGTGTGTATGTTTGTGTGTGCGACTTTGTATATGTATATATAATGTATATACATTTGTGTGTATGTGTTCTTGTGCGTAGGCATGTGTGTGAGTGAGTGTGCGCTCACCTATGATTCCTCCCTACGGCGGTAAACCTGCCCGGGCAAGTGTTGCTGAAGGAAGGTTTCACAGAGAAGCCCACAGCGCCACCTGTGCCGTCCACGACTCTCATCCTGAGCGACCTTGACATTGCCATGACCTCAAACTGGATCTCCTGTCGCAAACCCACGTTCTGTTTCACCTGCAAGAAGAAGGTTATGCTGCTTATTATTTCTTTCTTCATCTTGGTGAAATGTTAAGTTTGTTTCTCTTTTCATCTTGGTGAAATGAAACGGGTTTTTAATCTCTATACTTCATCTTGGTTCAATATCACCTTTAGTTTGTATTTTCTCTTCATCTTAGCGAAATGTAACGTTGTTGGTTTTTTATCTCTATACTTCATATTGGTCCAATATTATGTTTGTTTTTCTCTTCACCTTGGTGAAATGTTACGTTTGGTTTTCTCTCTTCAATTTGTTGAAATGTTACTTTTGTTTATTTTCTTCATTTTGGTGAAGTGTTACGTTTGTTTTTCTCTTTCCCATGTTGAAATGTTACTTTTGTTTCTCTATATATCGTTGGGACTAACCAGATGTCCTCAATGGAGGGAGTAAAGCTACCGTCGTGGAACTAACCAAACAAAACCGAAGATGACCTTCAGGAACAAACATGTTTGTTTTCAAGGCCGCGAGAGGGACGATCGGTTTGAGGCACGGGTCTAGTGTGCACTGAAGCCACCAGAAACGAAACCGAACCGAACCGAGCCTCTTAGCTGTCTGGTATGTGTCCAGTTGAAGCAAATTGCAGACGACAGTTATGACGAATATACCATAGACGACAGGCAAATTTCGTTGGACACACAATGCGGAAAGAAGCATTGGAGAATATT